TGTGCCTGTGCATTTATGTCATCAAGGTGAATTATTTTTCTGCATGTCAGTAATCAGAACTTTTAGCATAACATTTAATTAAAAAGGGATAGCAGTTGCAAAAGCTTTCTACCTCTTGTTTTTCCTTTGTTCCCTGATGACCTTTTTTGCTTTTGTTGTGGTAGTATGTACGACAATCCTTTCTCCTTCCTCTTCCTCGCACTTTCTGGCGACAGTAGTGATGAAGATGAAGAAGATGATGATGATGGTGATGATGGTGATGATGAAGGTGGTGGTGGTGGTGATGAGTTTTCTTGTGTCCAGTTTGGGTCCAGGTATCAGAGGAATGGAGTCTTACCCCTGCATGTGCATAAGTGCTTAGGAACTAACTTTTATAAGCCCTCATTATGGGCGTGCTTTGGATCGAAACAGGGTAGGGTCAAATGAGACAGCCTGGATAGTCAAGATGTGGGGAACTTGCATGTACTGAGGCTTTAGGACCTTACCTGGGGTAAAGTGGCACGTAGGAAAATCTTCATCGTTGTTGCCTGGTAAGTTTTGAGGAAAACTTACGTGTAATCATTTGTCAGAAACAAATGACAGATTAAAGATGAATCATCAAGCACACCCACCCTGAGATCTGAAATGAGGTACCCTTCATTTAACTATGGCGAGTGTTCTCGTGAGCTGCCAGATGTGAGCGACACGTACTCAGTGGGGCATGTTTCCTTACGTACAGTTGCATGGATTGCTGCTACTTAGGAATGGCAAAGGGGCTGGGATCGTGTGTGCGTGTGTGTGTCTTTTAATTACAGCTCGGGCTGACAGTCTGTTCAAGAGCATATGGGGCCATCCTGTCTGGTATAAATGATTCTGCTTTCACTTCTAACCTTAAATTTCACTGATCACCTCCTTGACCTCAGTGAGGCTAGACCCTTGTTTAGACAGTCTCTGGAATGACAACAGAGGCTGAAACTGAGTTTGTGATGCTGCTGAACGTTCACCCTCCAAAAACCATGTGAAAAAAGACTGCTTGGGTTTTCTAGGTGATTTGGGGCAAGAAAATATAATAGCACCTTCTTTCTGAACCTCTGACTCATTGTCTTACGATTTTGCTCTTAAATCGAAGTTTCCACTGGACTGATTTGGTATTTATGCCCAGCACTGCTCAAAAATAACTCCAGGCTATAAATAGAGACGGCAGTAGGAGTTAGGTACACTTCATTAAATTGGACAGTGTTCAGAAGAATCATTAGAGAGAGTACATAGAGAAAGGAATGTTGGTGCAAGGTTGAATATTGATTCAGGAAGGTTGATGTTTGTATTAGGTTGAACATTGTATTACTGTTTCTCAAGTGAATTTCCCAAAGGTAGAAGTGTCTTTTTCATGTGGATAAAATCCTCCTGCACGATTATAGTAATGCAGCAGGCATCCTTTTTAGGAATCAGTTTCCATACATGATGAAAGTGCTTTGTTATCTGTTTTACTGTAAATTGTGAGAGAAATGCTCTCTCTCCCTGGCCTGTTTCATTCCAGCTTGCTCTCACCAAGGTACCAGATGGCGTGCTGCTTTTACTAGCACTAGACTCCTGGCATCCCAACCTTGTCTCTGATCTAGATTCTGTAGCTACAAGGAGAGATAACCGTGTAATAATAACTCCAAATACTGACTGAGCATCGTGGGCCAGATCCCGTGCCAGCACTCTGCACACATTATCCCTCTATCCTCACAGCAGCCCTTCCAGTTACTGTAAGGAACCTGGGGGACAGGGAGGTCAGTCACATAACTAAGTACGTGGCAAGGCCTGAGTCCAGAACTCACCTGCTTCACCACCACAATGTGCTCCCAACAGGACTCGTGTTGTTCTTGTTCCTTAACTAGTTATTTTGCTGCCGAGTGTTTATGCATCTACTCTGTTCCTTGGCAAGGAAGTGCCAGCATTTTACTCGGTAATTACAAAATTCCATTCAGTTGGCAGGTCCTTTGCTGGCTGTTAAAACGGAATCTGATCTATCCAGATTTTGGCAACTTAACTTAACAGCTTTTGAATAGCTATCAAGCAGAATGTGAGAGGATGTGTAAAAATATATAACTGATTAAGCAAATAGAGAGGAATTCAAGAGTGCACGTAGGGCCAGAACCAAGAGGAGGTTAATTTGAGTGATCAGGAAATAACAGTTATTTTCTTGCCAGTCGATCTTCCCAGAATTTTATTTACTTTCAAGTAAGCAATTTCAACACCTACTCCTTGCCCGGTAAGATGAATGTTGTAGAAGAGCAACAGGGGGCCGCATCTGTCCCCCTCCTGCCCGCCTCTGGCTCGCCCGGTGCAGTTGATACGTTGCAAATGTTTTTGGAAGTAGTTGGGACATACGTACATATGTTAATTATCTATAGTAGGGACGAGAAGGATTAATTTAAGAAAGGTAGAACATTCCTTCCGTGACATTCTATAGTCCTCCGGAAAGAGCTGTAAAAATTATAAGGATCGACCTGTTGCAGGAGTGGAATGAGCGAAGTGAGAGAATCGTCTTGTAATAAAAATAACATAGCATTTGCTCTGAGGAAAATTTTGCCGAGTGTTTCCTAGGAAAGAAATCTGTTTGTAACTGCTTAGATATTTCAGTGAAGGAGGTAGAATCTTCAGTGTCGTGAACCTGTGTGAATAGAGAAAGGGAAAATTAGCAAATGGTGAAAAATGTTCACATTTACCCTCTCGTTTCTGCTGCTCGTCACTGCTTGGAGATGAAACATGGCAACAGTCCCACCGTGTGTGTCTCCAAACCCTCACACGCAGTGTGCCCCTGCTCACACAGAGTAAAACCCAAAGCCTCACCCTGGCGAGTGAGACCCTTCGTGTCACGTACATGCACATGCACACGTGCACGCACGCACACGCGTGTTCCTCCGTTCTGACCTCACGTGCCTCCCTTTGCCCCCTCCGCTGCTCGCCACCCTGTTCTTGACCTCCCCTGGCATACTCCCGGCTACCTTGGGCCTTCACACTTCCTTCCTCTCTTTGGACAGCTGTCCCCCAGATGGCTGCATGGCTTGCTCCCCTGACGCCCTCGGGTCTCCGTGTAGACACCATCTTCCCAGAGGGTCATATCACACATTATATAAAGCACACACGCACACTTACTGCCCGTCTCTGTCACCATGCTCCGCTGTCATTGTTCTTCATAGCATTCCTATATTATTTTGGACTATCCCCCCCTCTACAGTGTAATCGCTATACCAGCAGGGTCTGTTCCATTCAGTGTCTGCCCCCAGAGCCTACAACAGCGCCTAGAATGCACAGTACACTGTGAACGTTTGTTCAATGAATTCACGTTGCTCGAACCTGCACTGCTCTAACTTTGCCTTGCACTGAGAAAACACAACATTCTAAAGTCTGCATTCAAAAAAATGAGTTACACAGGAGAGAGATTATTCATACCATTATAGAAGAAATTATCAAGGAACATGTTTTCTTGGTGCATTTCATATGGGATTCAGTTTGCAACAGATCTGATGCACGTCGGCTCCCCTGGAAGATTTGCATTGTGTTTTCAGAAGGAGTCAGGTGTATTTCTATTATGCGAAGTAATCACTTTATTAAATTGGACTGTCGGTGTAGTTATCAGAAAACGGTTCACACATTCTCCCAGAAGGAGGTATAAGTTTGTAGATACTCGTAGGACTTGAATGTGACATATTTCCAGTGTGGTATTCCATGTGTCACAGTTGTAAAAGCATCATGAATTTGGGAATAACTTGTTTAGGGAAAAATGAAATGTTCTTTTAAAACTTTAAAAATGTTTATTGATAGCGTGAACATGTGCACACAAACACTACACCACTTTTCTCCTTCAGAGTGGCATTCAAAATTTAAGTCCAGCGCTTTCACTTTGAACCTAAAGATCGTTGTGCGTTTTGATCATTGAGACCTGTGTGTAGCGTTGAGACTGGCTGCTTTTCATGCTAGGGGATCATGGTTTACTTTAGCACCTGTAGGACCAATCCTAAAATTTGTAATCTATGAACAAATACTGGAGTTTATTCTACATTTCCTATTTGGTTAAATTTTATTTCATTTTTTTGGGTCGTCTGTTCTTGAGAGTCAGCTGAAGTGTTTGGTGTCTGACAGATGATCACCAAAATATACCAACTTCTTTTAGCTTTGAAAATTCTCTGATACATTTTGGATGCCTTTCACTGCATTGCCTGGCATGAGACAAGCAATCTTCCACATACATTGTCACTTTTCATGTCTCAGTGAAATAGTTGTGAAGGTACCTCAGTTGGCTTTGAGGTGTTCACACTGAAGTTAAAGTTCAGTGGGAAGTGTTGGCTAAGAATGGAACCTAGTTTCAGCATGTGAGTGGCCACCATGTAAGCATGCTGACTTCATGCAGATGTTCGCATGCTGGCTGTGGGTAGTGACCCCTTGGAGCTGGCAAGGACCTATTGGCATCAAACGTAAGATGCTTTTCATCAGAAATGTAAAAATGTGAACAATTTGGGCTTTATTATCAAGGAAATGTATAGTTGAAATTTTCATTTTAAACATGAGGCAGATGGGTTTTCATTGTTTTCTGCGAGAGAGAGCCACTCAAAGGAAAATTAACCTTAGTTGTGTCTGGGGAAAGCCTGTGTTGGTCAAGTTCATCTTTGGAAGTGCAGTGAATAATAGAGTCACTGGGTCCCTGACGTCAGACAGAGGAGGAAAGAATCACAGATAGCTTGAAACTGAGATGGTGCAGTAAGAAAATATCTCCCTTTTCCCTTTCTACTTTTGGGGATTCACCACACTTCTCATATTTTTGGTTGGTTTTTCTCTTTTGTTCTGATGTTGCTTTTTTTTCCTCCCCCCTATGCTTTGTTCTCTCTTCCCTTCTGTCAGACCTATGGAGCAGATTGTAGGAATTCAGATTTACTAGACTCTGGCCTGAAAGCCTTGGATTGAAAACTGGCATTGTTTTCATCTCTTTAACTTTAATATCATACTTTCATTCCAAGGTCAATTATATATCCAGTTGACCCCCGAACAAGATGGGTTTGAACTGTGCAGGTCCACGTATATGTGGATTTTTTTCAGTATATACGGTGCAGTACCGTAAATGTATTTTCTCTTCCTTAAGATTTTCTTAATAATATTCTGTTTTCTGTAGCTTAAGAATATACTGTAAGAATACAGTATATAATACATATACAAAATACATGTTAATCGACTGTTATTAGTTAAGGCTTCTGGTCAACGGTAGGCTATTAGTCTTTAAGTTTTGGGGCAGTCAGAAGTTAAATGCAATTTTCAATTGCATGGAGGTGGCAACCCGAATCCCTGTGTTGTTCAAGGGTCAACTGTATTTTTCTAAAATTCTAAGGTCAGTTATGCATATATTCCAGAATTAGTTATGTATATCTATGCGTCTCCCTGCATAACGTATTGTTAATAGCTCAATCCCTCTTAGTCCTGTTGGTTTCTAGCCTTTAATCGTCTGCCCCAGTTGAAGTAGGGATGGGCCTTTCAGGGTCGTGATATTCTTCCCATCCTTTATCATCTTTCATATGTAATTTTTTTGCTAAGTTTATGTTTTCTCATTTCCTTTTCATTTCAAAATTCCTAGCCTCTCCCTGTGCCATGATTACTCTCTTTGTATCTTTTGTGTATATCAAATAAATTTGTGAGTTAAACATCAGGTTTGGTATGTGACTTGTTGATGGTTGATCTAAACTTTAATTTCCTCACTTGAGATAATGTTTGGCTTTGGTCTCGGTGAATAGTTCTTACTAATCATAACAGTGCTTCATGTTGTATCCTGCTTATAGTCTACGACGCACTTCCATTTGGTTTCCTTTAAGCCTCACTGCACAGGAGATGAGGTTCTAGGTTCAGGTCACAAGCAGGCAGTACAGCTGGACCAGAACCCAAGTTTGGATACCCCCACACAAGATTTTTGTTTTGTTTGTGTTTACTCTACAACTTTGCCTTTTTCACTGAAAGTTTTAGAAATTTTTGTGTTAATAACAAATAATTTTATGTTTCCTTCTATAACTGGACAGTTTTCCTTTTCTGGTCCTACTGCCAGATGCTGGATGAAGGCTTTGGAGATTATGTCAGAAGGCATGAGAAGGGGTTTTTTGTTAGTCTTTATAACTTCACTCCTGCTGAGTTCGATGATTGCAGTAGCATAGTCTGGTTTCAACCTACAAGTCGGTCTGAGTGAAGACGGCCAGTTTGGTTTAAGCACATGTGCTATCCCTTCAGGTACCCAGCACAGTAGGTCTTAGTCCTCCTGGCTTTGTAAGTTGCCACTCCCAATAGGAGAAGATGTTGGGTTTCTGCTCCAACTCTCTTCTTAGGTCAGTACAATGTTTACTAAGAGTTACTGTTGTTGGATTCGGAGCAGGTGCAATGAGCAGGTGCAATGAGCAGTCCGCTCCAACCTTGGCTGCATGGGTGTCTGCTTTGTCGTGGGTGCAGGGATCCTAACAGGCTTTCTGCTGCAGAAGTGCAAACTCTATCAAAGATAATTCATTGAGAGGAGGTAAGAATCATCAGTTTTCTTTTCTCTTCTCCAAAGTTTGGGAGCCTCTGGTGGGGCCAGTACTTGGGATTCCTACAGCGACCATTTCACCATTGAGACCTGCAAGGAGACAGACATGCTGAACTACCTCATCGAGTGTTTTGACCGAGTTGGAATAGAGGAAAAAAAAGCACCAAAGGTAATATGAAATAGATCCACTTAAAAACCCGTAAGAACCTGGTTGTTTTTTGATAAATAATCTTTTGCCCCCTTAAGGAACATTCCTTCATTTATTCAATCAGGAAAATGGTTCTCCAGCATGTATTATGTGCCAGGCGCTGCGCTGGGAGCTCAAGGCGTATCAGTGAACAAAACAGAGATCCCCCCCACCCTCACAGAACTCACATCCTCATGGAAGGAAGAAGTGACGGGGGCAAATGCCACTGCCACCAGCGACTTGCATGGCCCTTATAGTTCCTGGTAGTCTGTAACAAGTGTAGTAATAACCCACATGTATGGAGTGCCCGCGGACTGCTGACCTTGTGTTTCGCCTACGGGAGCTGAGATTCTCACGGTTGTTCAGTTAATCTAGTGTAAGATAGGTATTATTTTTACTGTATGAATAACCAGATGAACCTCAGAGACACTGAGTAATTGTCCGGAATCACATAAAAGTTACAAAAATGGGTTTAAACTCCAGAAGCTATGCTTTCTCTCCTGTTTCATGCTGTCTTTATTATGATTTCATTCCCAGTTCATTGTCCACTTCTCGTTTCCAAACTAGTCAACTTGTCCACCTGTTAGTTACATATTTGTAAAGGGCCTCTCTGGGGTTTGTTGCACTGAACCTTAAGCAAAGGCGGAGAGCGGGCACACAGCTCTGAGATTCCCGCTTGGCCACCTCACTCTGCGCTCTTCCCTGACCGTAGATTTCAGTGGAGGCAGTACACGTGGACGGTACAGTTACTCTGGTCTGTTCACTATGAGTCAGGCAAGAGAAAAGCGTGCCATTTCCTGGAGATTGACGTCTCCCGACTCTTGTCAGTTTTCAACAGGACAGGCTTATTTTGTTTGTTTTTGCAGTCCTGACCTCCTCCGCCTTTTCTTTCAGATGTGCAGCCAGCCAGCAGTCAGCCAGCTTCTGAGCAACATCCGCTCACAGTGCATATCCCATACTGCATTAGTCCTACAAGGTTCCCTCACGCAGCCAAGGTAGGGAAAACCGTGTGTGCTCGTGTTAGCAGGCAGAGGAGCCTATCCCTCAGCGGACGTCGGGCTCTCCGGCCGACTTGCCTCACCTTGGATAACACACTTTCTCACCTGGAAGACAAAAGTGGTTGAATGGATAACCCAGGAGGTCCCTTTCCTTCTCTGAAACACTATGAAAATAAAACACTGTCTGCTTTACTTCTAGACCACTGTTGAAATATGTCAGCGTCAAGGCAGGAAATTAGTATTTAGTTTAAAAGCAGCTCCTTGAAATCAGGGGAGATCTTTGAAAAAATGTGCAGGTTATCATTTTCCGTGTATCATACAATCAATTTCTGTTATTCAGTGATAAATAACAGTGGGAGAGCAGTTAGTTTGGGAATCGCCCAGAGTACACTACATTATTGATTGTTTCGGAGGGTCCCATCAAGGTTTCTAGTTCAATATAAGAGTATTTATATATTTCATTATTTTATGAAAATATCTGAAGGAAAAGTAATGCAAAAATTTCTAAGGAAGAAATGGCAGTTACATTTATTCGTTCTGGATGTTCTTATATTATTTTCTGTACCAGAACCATCTGTTTTTGAAACTTGTCAAAAAGAAGGAAAAATTTGGGGGCGCCTGGCTGGCTCAGTCAGGGGAGCGAGGGACTCTTGATCTCCCAAGGTCGGTCATGAGTTCGAGTCCCATGTTGGGTAGAGAGATTACATAAATAAATGAACCTTAAAAAGGAAAAAAAAGAAGAAGAAGAAGAAAGAAAAGGATAAACATGGACCAAAACCAAAAAAAAAATTCTGTGGTTAAAATTAGCAAGAGTTTTATTTAAAAGTCCTCAGCCACCACTGATCTTTTCTTTTCAGTTGCATGTGCCATAAACAAATAAGTAAAAGAGACATATAATGCTTCATTTTTTGGGTAATGCTTTATTTTTAAAGGGCTTGCCTGTAGGAAAAAATGGGTTCTTTGAAACTTTCTGCAGTCTCTTCATTAAAAAGACCAAAAAGTGATTATGAACAATTTAAGAAGGGTGGTCTTTTGCCTAAAACTGTTGTGTAGCGTATTTGGGAGATTTGAAGTTGGACATTTGACTGGACACGTCTGCTGACGTGACAGCCCGTGTGCCGTGTTATCGCACGCTGCTGAGCTGAGCCATCGCGGTCCTTGACTCTTGTGGGTTCGCAGGTCCATGCAGCAGCCGTCCTTCCTGGTGCCGTATATGCTCTGCAGGAATCTCCCGTATGGCTTCATGCAGGAACTGGTGAGGACCACTCACCAGGACGAAGAAGTGTTCAAGCAGGTGAGGTTTTGTGAATTTGCTACCAGGACATGTAACCTAGGAGCTTCTATGCCAAGGGTGATTTCTAAAGACACCATCTATTGAAAACTTCTGTTTCAGAATCTGAACTTGCATGTGTTAATTGCTCAGAGAGGTCTGATACTTCTTTCTTGAGATAATCAGATTGACAGCTGCATTGTTCAAATCATTTGTCCATTTCAAGCAGTCAAGCATCAAGTATTTTATTTATTTATTTATTTTAAAGATTTTATTTATTTGCGAGAGAGAGAATGAGAGACAGAGAGCATGAGAGGGAGGAGGGTCAGAGGGAGAAGCAGACTCCCTGCCGAGCAGGAAGCCCGATGCGGGACTCGATCCCGGGACTCCAGGATCATGACCTGAGCCGAAGGCAGTCGCTTAACCGACTGAGCCACCCAGGCGCCCAAGCATCAAGTATTTTAAACAGTGCTAAGTGCCTTGAGAGGGAAGAAGAAGTGTAAGGCCCTGTCCCTCATTTCAAGGTGCTATTAACACAAGAATACCAAGAGATGGCATAAGACACGACGTATTTGCCAGTTGAGTTGTGTTGAAAATCAGTTCTCCGAGTTTGCAAAAAGGAGATTAGTAAACCAGCGACGAAATTAGCTCAGTGCAGTTTGCGTACCACACAGAATCTTTTGTCTTCTCGCCACTCAACTGGGAACGATGTCTCATATCTTACTAATTACTTCTTTCATTAAGTATTCATACAGCTTTTATATCTCACTGTGTAAAGTCAAGTGAAAATGCAGATATGGGATATTTAGTAATAAAGCTATTTATGTAGTCTTGAAAGTTTCTTCTGAGGTGAAACCTTGGCATCACGTTTGGTTGCTGTATCCCAGCCTGTTTTGTGACATGAGCACTTGGCCACAGCAACTTCCACACAAACTGTTTCCAGTGATGGGAGGGTTTTTTTTTTTTAAGGATTTTTATGACACTTTCTTACAATTTACCATATGATCGTTTCTTTCTACACAGAACAGAGGCAATAGCTGTAAGTGATATGATTCCTTTTTATTTGTTTTTATACCTAATACCCATGTCCAGCTCCACACTGGGCCTGCAGCCTACTTGAAAAAAAGAAAGAAAGAAAGAAAATAAATAAGCATCTTGGAAGGTTTAAGTGGTGCCCTCTGTTGTGTATATGATGTGCATTAATTAGAATACTTTCTCGGGGCGCCCAGCTGGCTCAGTCAGTGGAGCTTACGACTCTTGATCTTGGGGTTGTGATTTCTAGCCCCCGCTGCGTGGGAAATAACTTAAAAAATAAATTCTTAAAAAAAAAAAATGAGAACGCTTTTCCTATTGTCTTCATTTGAGGAACCCAGAGTAGCTTTAGCTCTATAAAATCAGCCCAGTGATCAGCTGAAAGGACTGTGTTATACCTGTCTTACTCATAAAGAAACTTACACAGATGTTGTGAAGTGACCTCTTTTTTTTTTTTTAAGATTTTCTTTATTTGACAGAGAGAGACACAGCGAGAGAGGGAACACAAGCAGGGGGAGTGCGAGAGGGAGAAGAAGCAGGCTTCCCCTGGGGCTCGATCCCAGGACCCTGGGATCATGACCTGAGCTGAAGGCAGATGCTTAATGACTGAGCCACCCAGGTGCCCCCCTTTTTTTTTTTTTTTTAATTGAGATGAAATCCACATAACAAAATGAACCAATCTGTGGCATTTGGTACATTCGCAGTGTTGTGCACCCACTATTTCTTTTTTTTTCCCTCCTTCGGTGGGGGAGAGAGAAAGAGAGATGGGGGGAGGGGCAAACAGAATCTTAAGCAGGCTCCGCATAGAACGTGGAGCCCAACATGGGGCTCGATCTCACAACCCTGAGATCATGCCCTGAGCCAAAATCAAAGAGTCGGACTCTTAACCGACTAAGCCACCCAGGTGCCCCCCACTATTTCTTTTTAATCATAGCATTCTGATGCCTTTCCTGCCACTTGGTCCTGAACACTCCATGTCTGTCTTTGTGTTACCATGTGTTTTTTTCTAGAGAGAAATGATGACTGAATGGAAAACAGCGCTTCACTTTTTTTGTCTGAAGAGTTTGGCAGATTTGAACTATTAAATCTTTTGACTGAAACTTCAGTCTCCTTTTAATGTTTGAGGTATTCACAGATAAATAAATAGCAGCTAGAATTTAGGATTGGAGATGAATACTTGTATTTTTTTTTTGTCATTGCTCCAAGGAGTTTATTTGAAAACAAGAGAATCATTTAAAATACATAAGTCACACAATAGCGGCGCCTGGGTGGCTCAGTTGGTTGAGCGTTTGCCTTCAGCTCGGGTCATGATTTCAGGGTCCTGGGATCGAGCCCCGCATCGGGCTCCCTGCTCAGCAAGGAGTCTGCTTCTCCCTCTCCCTCTGCCCCTACCCCCTGCTCGTTCTCTGTCTCAAATAAATAAATAAAATCTTAAAAAAAAAATACATAAGTCACACAAACATTATAATGCTTGACTATTTGAAAAATATTATTGCTAGTAATACCTTGTGTATTATAAATTAAATCCTACCTGCAGAAGAGGTTAAGTCTACTAGAAAACATAAAGATGTTTTCTTTATAGCATTCTGGAAAAAAATGTTGAGATTATTCTAGATGACCAATTGTGAAAATTTATTTTGGTGATTTGGGAACTTCAGTTTTGTTTTTCTTGATTGTGATGTTGTCATTCCCCCATCCCCACACCTCAGCTTTACCTATCCATTTTTAGCTAGCTTCTGACAGCACGTTACTTCTACCCTGATGGTTTGAGTTGCAAAAACTGGAACGATCTCTTCCAGAGCTATCTTGTTATCTGAAGACACCCCACAGGCACTTTGTAATCCAGGGCACCTTCTTTTTTTTTTTTTTTAATCCTGTGCTCCTTAAATGACCAAGCTGCTCAGTACAATGGGATGAAATTAGTAGGAAAGGGAATTTTTCAGATTTTCTAGTGGCTTTATAGAGCGCTCCCATTTCAACTTGCTGACATTCAGATTGTCAGCTGTTGTTTATACCATCTTCTACTTAATGTTATTAGTCTTGAATCCCAACCAACTCTCTAAATGAGTCGGTCAGTGAGTACGTTGTGGCATTTGTAGATGAGCTGTGCTGAGCAAATCTTGCATGGTGATAGCATGCTCTGGTGTTGATGGTAAACTTGTAAAAATAAATACGCGTGCCCTCGAGCTCTGGCATCATGCTCATGTTTTCATTATACCACAAACGGAGGTAAGTCGTTTTAGTCAAGTTTAGTTTTGCAGATTCCACATTTACCAGCTATCTCTTTGCTCTACATAATTAAAGTTAATGTAATGATAATAATATTCTTTACTGGTGTGTTTTTCTTCTCTTCAAAATAAACAGGAAGGGATGGGAAGAATCAGATGGAGGTGGGAGAGTGGCTGGGAATAATTTTTTAAAATACTGATAGAGTTGAGAAAATAGTGGAACATTTAGTCCAGTTTCTTTACAGATTGTAGGTGCTTGGTCATCAGAAACATATTCATTGTCGAGATGTAGAGAATTTAGTTGACTAGAGCGAGGACCCCTGGGGACTCCTGTAGCGGGCTCAAAAATTGTGTTTCTTTTGAGTCACTCGGAGTCTTGCCCGAGAATTAGGGCTCACCAGATCCTGTTACCTCTGGAAAATTCAGCTATATCACTTTATGGTCAGCCTCGTTGGAGGACAGAGCCACACTCCGTGGCTGGATATTAGACTCCTTTATAAACAAAACAGCTTTTCCTTGGGGAGGGTGGAAATGCTTAGACATTCAGATTCAGCACTTTATTTTAACACGCCTCCTGTTCTTAATTTTTCCTAAGCTTATATTTCCGATTTCTTTTTTCTTACAGATCTTTATCCCCATTTTACAAGGCCTGGCTCTCGCTGCCAAAGAGTGCTCCCTCGACAGTGACTACTTTAAGTACCCCCTCATGGTAAACCTCTCTTCGTTTTCTTTAAGCCATTCACCAGATGCTTTCTTCCAGATGATTGTAACACACACTTTTCTTTCAGGTGATCAACCTTGTTTTCACACTTAAAACCGGAAAGCATTGTGTTGGCCATGTAGTGTTTGATGTGCAGTGAGATGTATCAGTGAAGAGAGGGAGGTAGTGGCCCAGGACATAATCCGCGCACGCAAGCCCTTGGCAGGAGTCAGTGATGTAGGCACTAAAATACACTTCACCTGACTGTGTAGCTTACGAAAATGTTAGCTCTTGATTTTATCCTTCTGATCTTCCTGGCAACAGGAAGGGTCTTGACTGCTGTGAACACACTGGAACCAGAAAGAAACGAAAAGACCCTTTTCTTTGTGAATTGGCTTCTTGGAAATTTGGGGAGAAAACTACTTTGACATATGACTAAATATTTTTCACTCTAGGATGTGAAGGGAAAAATACCAAAATACAAAATTCGCTAACTCCATGAATAAATACAGTCCCATAAATTGAGGCCTTGGTTAAATTGATCTTTTTACTACAGTTTTTCCTTGTACTCGTTCTACTGACTTAATTCCATCTTACCATTAAGTCAGTATCACTGAGGACCTCTTCTGTGCCAGACACTGGGGCTAATTAGACAAGGCACCTCTCTGCGAGTTGTTCCTGACCCACTGCAAAACTCAAGTCCTCAACAGCGCAGATAATCACAGCATGATAAATGCTAACACGGGTGTACGTGAAGGGTGCATGTCTCTATTTTAATCAGTCAAAATGGAGCTAAGAGGCGAAGATACTGTGGGAAATTAGAAGGCGAAATAGCAATTCTTTTTAAAATAACTTTGAATGGATTTATGTCAGGGCTCCTTCTACTGCCCATGCCATTTGGGTTCCAAATAAAATTCTGTTAATCCTTATGCATAATTCTGTCTGTGCCAGAGAAAAGGAAGTGAAACCATCTGATTGTTTGAGTCCAGTGATGAAATACTCGAGTGCACATTCATTCTCAGTGGATGATGTAAATGTTCCTTCACAGAATGGTTAGCTTTTCTGTGCGGTCTGAACTGGCTCGATGTCTCAGTAAGGAGCGTTCAGTGTCAGATATCAACAAAATGTTCTTCGTGCTCAAAAGACAGAGGCCTCCATTATGACAGACAATAGTTGTATTTTATACCATTCCTGATGCTTGTACAGCCGAGAGAGCACTGTGTGAGGAAGGACAATGGGAGCAGGAAGAGGAAGACCACTGGAGCTGCAATCAGAAACAGTTGTGATTGTTCTCTGGCTCCGTGCCTCCCAAGGTTGCCTTGCCCTGGAATCACCTGGGGATCTTTAAAAAACACCGGTACCTGGCTCCCACACATTGTGATTCCGCTGGTCACGGGTATGGTGAGGATGGGACCTGGCGCTGGGTTTTTCCAACTCCCCTGGTGATCCTAATGCGCAGCACTGTTTGGGAACCCCTGCCCTCTGCAGCGAGAGCTTTTCCTTCTCAGGGGCACCTCAGAGACCTTTCAGTGCCTACATGCATTGCCTCAGAAGCAGCTTCCGCTGGCTGGCTCGGGAACTTTGGTAGCCATGTTCAAATCACAGGAAATGAAGCTCACTGTTAAAATAGTGTTTGGTTGGAATACGCCGGCTACGTTAAACTGTGTTTATGTCCCTAAAACCTACTTTTCCTGATTCTCTAATGTGAGAATGATTGCAGCTCCAAAGGAAAATGTTGGAGTTCTCAAAAATATCCAAGATCTCGAAGCCAACTAATGCTTTTAAATATGTTCTGAATTTGGTAGCTTATTAGATGGTAATGATTTATAGTCCTGTTTAGCACTGGCAAGACTAGCCATCTCAAGTTTATGAAGCATATCTTTTTTTTTTTTTGACATGGAAAGATGTTAAGTGAAAAAATCACTTTTTATAAAAATACACACATTTATTTCAATGTGTATAGGCGCAAAGATTATGGCTGGAAAGCTGTTAACTAAGATATCAATAGAGGTTAATCTCTTCGGGTAAAGTTTATGAGTGATTCTTAGTTTCATTTTGTATTTCTATTTTATCTGAAGTTTTTTACACCATGCAGGTATTAGCTTATTCATCAGAAAAACAGTGAAGCTCTTAGTGTTTTGGAAGGAATGCAGATGTATTTAAAGCAGCATTAGAGCTGTTCCTTGATATTACACATGTCAGTCAGTTTAAGATGGAATACATTTAAATGACACTTTCTGCGGGGTGCCTGGGTGTCTCAGTCGGTGAAGCATCTGCCTTCGTCTCAGGTCCTGATCCCGGGGTCCTGGGATCGAGCCCTGCACGGGGCTCCCTGCTCAGCGAGGAGTCTGCTTCTCCCTCTGCCTCTGCCCCTCCCCCCTGCTTATTCTCTGTCTCAAATAAATAAATCTTTTTTAAAAAATGACACTTTCTGATCTTATTTCTAGGCTTTAGGTGAGCTTTGTGAAACCAAGTTTGGGAAGACACACCCTGTGTGCAATTTGGTGAGTGCCTCCCTGATGGACTTGCACATGTTCAATGGATGTGTAACTCCGAAGATATCCCTTAAGTAACATTATGTGGAAAAAAAAAAAAGTCTCTTAGAGGACATTTAGATTAGATATAGGTAACACGTCTGGGTGGCTCTCAGTAGTTAAATTGGTTAACCCTATATGTTACTGCCTGGGATGAAGTTATTTATTTTCTTCCATGATTTTTGTATAAGTTTCGTAGAACGAGGAAAACAAGTCCTATGGAAACATTGACCTGAGTCCTTTGATAGTGTAAAAATAGTTCATCTGAACTCTATCAAAGAACTTCTCGAAACATAAAAATCAAAAGACTATCTTGTGAAAATGTAGAGGAGTTGGAGGCTTTTCTGCCTCCATATGAGATGAGAAAATACCAACAGGGATCCTGCACGTTTGTGACCTTTGGGTTTCTGTGTGTTCACTGTCAGCCGTGGTACTGGTGGCTGAGACCCAGCTGAACAGGTTGGCTGTTGAGAACTCCGTTCATTACATTTTCCCCTCACTTGCCGATGTAGCAGCTTGACTTGCCTCTTCCATTTTTTGCATAGGTGGCTTCTTTGCCGTTGTGGTTGCCTAAATCCTTAAGCCCTGGCTCTGGGCGGGAGCTGCAGAGACTCTCCTATTTGGGGGCTTTCTTCAGCTTCTCCGTCTTTGCAGAAGATGATGTAAGTACAGTGGCCGTTTGTGCTTTGCTGCTCTGATGTTCAGATGCCTTCCTAAATGTGCATATATCGATGGAATTTTTCCCTTCTCTTCCCAGGCTAAGGTGGTTGAAAAATATTTCTCAGGGCCTGCCATTACCCTGGAGAACACTCGCGTGGTCAGCCAATCACTGCAGCATTACTTGGAACTGGGAAGGGTAGGTGTTTGGAAAATGAATTCAAAGGACGAGTAACAGAGAGGCTGTATATAAATAACCAGTGTCTTGAGTAATAACTGCCACAACAGTATGTGGCATCACTGGGGACTGGTTCTGAGGTTAGCGGCCACGCTCTCCCTCCAGCCTGCTCGTAGGCCTTTAAGACACGAGAGTGAACGAGCGCTGTTAGTGTGCACGTACTCCGTGATGACTCGTGTGTCTCAAGTGTAGATTAATATGTCTTCAGTTCTGAGGTTTTTCGGCAGCAAAATTAGGGGCTAACGATAGCATAATTAAGGTAATTTTGATCCTGTCCCTAAAAGGCAATAGCAAAGGCTATTTCATTAAAACTCTAACTACTTGCCTCCTCCAGCCCACCCTCTGCCTTCACGCGAATTGTCTTGACACAGTTGAATTTGGACACTTCTGTTCCTCTTGTAGTCAGGTTCTCTTAAAATGAGCGGAAGAAGGAGAGGAGAGAAAGGGGGAAGAAGCCCAGCTGCTCTTGAAGTCAAAGGGAATCATTTTTAAAGTCAAGTCTTAATTTCTTTTCTTCCTTTCTAAATAAATTCCAGCAAGAGCTTTTCAAGATTCTGCATAGTATTCTGTTAAACGGTGAGACCCGTGAGGCTGCTCTTAGTTACATGGCAGCTGTCGTCAATGCCAACATGAAGAAAGCACAGATGCAGGTAGGATTCCTAGAGACCACTTTTATTGATTCGCTAAATTCATTCATCTAACTTGTCTTCACTCAGGATCTACCAGGCACTGTTCTAGGAAATGGTGACATGGTATTGAGCAGGATAGAAAAACGTCCTACCTTTGTGCAGCTTATGTTCCATAGGCTAAGTGAGTAGGCATATAAATATATTATTTCAGGCAGTTGTAGAATCTGTGAAGCAAATAAAGCAAGGTAGAGGACTCAGGAGTAACCGTGGAGGTACCAGAAGGAAGGTAGGGGAGTTTTGATCAGTGGTAGGGAAGACACCTTTAAGGAGGTGACGTTTCATCAGAGACCGGACTGATGTGAAAGTCAGCCATTACAAGGCTGGGAAGAGAATTTTCTAGACCTGTGTAAGGCACCAAGGTGGGAATGGTCTAACTTTGGAACAAGCCCCACACGCAGACTTCAGTGGCTGGAGAATAGTGTACAGGAAGGAGAATGGCAGGTCATGGGCTAGCAGGGCGGGCAGAGGCTCCATCAGGCTGGGGCTGACGTGGTAAGAACTGTAATGGGACGCCCCTGGGGGTTTTTCAGCAAGGAAACCACCAAATGTGCTGTGTGGAAAATGGACTAAAGTGGGAGGAGGGACAGAAGCAGACCCGAGGAGACCGGTTATAAGGTTATAAGTGTATCAGATCTGGTGAGGAGCCTGGTGGCCTGGACTACCGTGCAAGGGTAGAGAAGTTAAAAGGCCATCCTTCCTATATTATTAATAAATAATGATTGAATGATGTGACATTTCTACTGAGAAGAAGAAAAAAGGTATAGAGAAGAGTGTGGCCCTGCATGAGACTACCTGGGTTTCCTGCTGTGGTCCCACCATTTACTAATGGTGGGACCTTAGACAATTATTTCTCTGTGCCTCGGTTTCCTAAGTGCTAAATGGGGATAATAATGGTTCCTAACTGTGGGTTTACTATCCATAAGGCTGTTAGAACAGTGCTTGTTGTTAACTACCGTTATTAATAATTGTTATGTTGTTAATACAGGATTTCACTGATGATGTCAACCAGAGAAAGTGTTAGTCAAACGGTACCTTGTGAAACTAGGGTTTTGATGCTCTTGAGGGGAAATAAAGAAGAGAAAGGAAGGAACATTTATTGTGTTTCTACTTAATTAATTTTGAAGATCTTAAGGAAGTCATTTAACTCTCTGAGCCTTAGTTTCCCCCTCTATGAAATGTGAATAGCAGTATCACTGACTTCCAAGGGCTCTTCTGAAGATTCAGTGAATGTATAAAATGCTTCACGTAGGATTAATACTCCACAAAGAGCACCTGCTGATAAAATGACAGCGGTGATGATATATGTCCTCTCACTGACTTTGGGATGAATGTCTGGTTTTCTTCCTTACAAAGTTGTGCCAAAATTTCCATTTAAATCATTATTTTAAATACCTTTTTTTCATATTCCACAGACAGATGATAGATTGGTATCTACAGATGGATTCATGCTGAATTTCCTTTGGGTGCTGCAGCAGCTAAGTACAAAGATCAAGTTAGAGACGGTGGATCCGACATACATATTCCACCCAAGGTGTCGGATTACTCTTCCTAATGACGAGACGAGAGTGAACGCGACGATGGAGGACGTGAATGACTGGCTGGCTGAACTTTGTGAGTGACATTGCTCATTGTGAGGTTATTAAAACGCTGCCCTTTTATTTAAAAACTTCTTGTAAATTTATTTTATTTGGATGCTAGTGATTACTCACAAATTGTTGTATCCTCTCCAGAAAATGAATTTATGAGCCAGAGATACACAATAAAAATTAACGCAGTAAAAATGTTCTTATTTGGCTTAGCCAAAGTCAAATAGATACATAGAACAAGTGGAAAGAAATACACTATTCAGAGTAAAACAAACAAACAAACAAAAAAAACAAAAAAACCCCAAAAAGAAATATAATAAAAACAATAGCAGAGACTTAAGAGATTTTATATACCAATTAAAGTTCTCATGAAATATTTCATAGATCTTGATGCTGTGTTGGTATTAAAATATGACTATTTTAAAGGTATTACAATTGTTGATCTTTTTCCTTTCTGTGTTATAAAACATGTTAATAACAGACATCAAAACCCTATGGCATTTATTTTTTAAATATTATAAAATCATTCATGGAATAGGATAGAGATTCCATGCTTACCTGGCAGTATCATAATCAGATGCATGCACACATTCCAGAGAAACATATGAACTATAATAAGAACTAAGTATCTGATGAACAATAAAGTTAGTATTTGATTAGTGTGATTTGAATTAGTCACTGGTATCATCTTGGAATCATATCATGGATTCCAGAAGAATCAAAGGGTTAAACATTTAAAATATATCTATATATGTATACACACACACACACATATAAAATAAACATAAAACATGAAAAAACCAAACAGAATTTGACCCACCCATGAAGGAAACAAATTTATAATGATTTAAGAAACGAAGCATATCATCAGAGACAATATGTATATACAGTATCTTAATAGATAAATATGCTTTTTGTAGAGTGAGACAAAATGAATATGTAAAACTTAAAAATGGGGCAAAATATATGTCATACGTTTGATAGAATCATGCCTTTCAAAATGTAGAACTGTTATAAATGTATAAGGCCCAAACTAAATTCTACCAAGAGACAGTTTTATTTTGGGGAAAGAAATGTAAGCAGTATATATCATAGAAAATAAAATATACTTGTTGGAAAAAATATACATACTAATAGGAATTAGATACAAATTGGAAATTCAGGTTACTGTTGTATATCTGTAAATTATCCAAAAACAGGGACGTCTGGCTGGCTCAGTCAGTGGAACTTGTGACTCTTGATTTCAGGGTTGTGAGTTTGAGCCCCATGTTGGGCATAGGGATTACTTAAAAATAAAATCTTTAAAAATAAATAAACAGATAATCCAAAAACAAAGCGATAAGATAGAATATAAGTTTGTGAGGAAATGGATGGCATTTAATCAATTTATTTAATGAATTCTGATTTATACCAAAATTATAACACTGTCATTCTCAATAATTTTACATTTTAGAATATGCTCCCAATGCTGGGAGTGGGGTGAGGGAGTAATTTTTCATACGTAGATCTTCTAAGCACTGTTTATAATAGAGAAAAATTAAAAATGACAAACATGCCCACAGTAGGGAAATGTCTTTGGAATCTGTAGATTATTAAGATAGTCTAATAACATTTTGAGATTCAAGGTGATGTTTCATGACCTGTGTTGAATTATAGGAATGGTTATATAAAATACATCAGGAAGGCACATAACGACAGATTGTTGATGTACATCTATGCAAACATTTAATCAGATGGGGCAGGATACCTAGTCATTAAATGGAGCTCATAGGAATTCTGTCCTAAGCAGGATAGAACATATAAGCAGGACGTAACTAGTCTATATTTTTAAAAAATTTTTTAAAGATTTTATTTATTTATTTGACAGAGAGAGAGAGAGCACAGAAACAGGGGGAGCAGCACAGGGAGAGAGAGAAGCAGGCTCCCCGCCGTGCAGGGAGCCTGACATGGGGCTCCATCCCAGGACCCTGGGATCATGTCCTGAGCCGAAGGCAGACGCTTAACCGAATGAGCCACCCAGGCACCCCTAGTCTATATTTTTTAAAAAACATGCTTAAACTTCTTGAAAACTCAAGTGTAATTCTGTCTTAATTGTGCTTTTTTCTCCTGATTTAGTCTTGTTAGAGACTTTAGGGAATCATGTTATTTTTCCTAGATGGAGATCAGCCTCCATTTTCTGAGCCGAAATTCCCTACAGAATGCTTTTTTCTTACCCTGCACGCCCACCACCTCTCCATTCTGCCAAGCTGCCGTCGCTACATCCGCAGACTCCGGGCCATCCGGGAGCTCAATAGGTATGTGCGTGACTCCACGTCCTGGGATTGCCTGAGGTACCACTTGTTATCACAAAGCAAGCAGTTCAGTTGTGACCAGTGGATTCGAATGTGGGGAGTAAAGATGTTGCAGTGAACCATCTGCTTCTGCTTCCCCATCCACGGTCCTCAGTTGACCAGAGTTCTTTATGTGGCAGAGTGACCCAACCTTGGTTTCTGAGAGTCCTCAACCCCTCGGTATGTGGTTACTAAACTTCCATTAACTTTTTTCACTGAGCGTGGTATTGACCAGGAGCCACTTTAAAGGATCTCCCGGGTTCCAGACATTCTCCTTCTACCCTGGACTCTGAAACAGTAACTCTAGTTTCCCTTGATAATCAAGATCATTTACTCCTGCCATCATGGAATTCCCTTTTTTGCATGTTATCCGGTGGCATAAGGAACCCACAATGGCTGGATAGTAGCCTCAGTTTCCAATGCACCATTGTTGTGTTTCTTAGTCTAAGCATTTTTCCCCGTGTACCAACACCTCCAAATAAACAAATCACAGGAACAGGAAGCAAACACATGGTGTGGCCACTGCCTTTGGTCCAGGACCTACAGACACGACTGACTATGAGAAAAAGGATGTCATATCTGCATCTGTAACTCTATCTCTGTGTATCTATCTTGCTAATCACCTGTTAACGCCGATGGTTACTCTGTAGATGCTTTAAGATTTTCTTTCTACACATATTCGTGTTGTTGGTAAATGAAGTCAGTTTTCTTTCTTACGCTATTTTTCTGTGCCTTAGTATCCTGGCTATAATTTTTAGTACAATCTTGAATAGAGGCAGCTTTCTTGAAATTTTTCTATTGTTCCAATTCAATAGGGGAAAGTTGTTTTTTATATCCTCTATTACCAGATGAAGAACATTTCCCATTATTCCTAGTATTTTAAAAGTGTTTTATTCCTAACAGAAGTTGCATTTTATTAAATGCTTTTTCCATAGCTGTTAAAGAGATCAGAAATTTTTTTCTCCTCTATTCTGTTAATGTGGTTGAATTACATCAACTAGGTTTTGTTTTTTTTTTT